GCTTGCAGGATTTGGCATTGTCTTGTTCAGTGATCCCATAAAAACCAGAACAGATGGCTGCTTTTCAAACAACCATTTATATAGTGTAGCTCCCTTCCTCTTTATCTTCTCTCTGCATTTAAATCATTCAACAAAAGGAACTGTCCTTCCCCACCAATTCAGAAATCAAAGCACAAAAGAACAGATTCTGTCCTAAGTAACTGGTCTGAATGCCCATTGAGACTTCATTTCAGAAGATTCATTTCTGTTTGATGAGTATTGAAATTGTCTTACAGCCTGAGACAAACTGTTAGAATCCCACCTCCTCCTTTATCATTTTGTTATTGAAACAGCTCTAAGAATGATTATACGGGCCAGCTTCCTCTTTGCGAGAAAGGATTGTTTCTGCTGCCATATGTTCAATGGTTGGTGATAATTATGGTTCTCAAAATGTTGGCTAGACTTGGTAGACAGTCTCTGGTAGTAAAGAAGGCTCATGTGTCTCCCTTTCTACTCTACTGAGACACATTGAATATAGTGCTGTTCTTTGCACCAGCTGATCAACACAGTGATTTAGTAGGAGAGGAGTAGTAGGTGGGCTGCTTACAGCAGCTCTCCCATATAACACACAACATTTTTAGCAGCTTGATTATACAGTTGATGAGGCATATTCTGCTTATTGGTGTTGCTGGCAGTTTTTAGAAACGTATTATTTTGGTGGCAGAATATAGTAAAGACTTTTCCTACTGGTTGCCAAAAAGAAATGTATGATCCCCAGTGGTGATCTGACAATGTATTTGCAGACCGCTGGTCAAATTTTCCGGTCTGTAGTAGTTTTTAACCATGAGATAGGTTTTGTCAAATGATTTGCTATAATCTGTAATGCACAGACTGAATTCTTCGGTGTGATCCAGTATCCAGCATATATTTGTGATATGATCTTGAGTTCTTCTTCCTTTTTGGAATCCAACTTGAATATCAGACGTTTCTTGCTCCATATAGGGTGGCATTTTTGTAACTTCTAGAGCAACAGTTTGATTGCGTGGGAAATTACTGTAATGGTTCCACAGTTAATGCATAGTTGATGCAGGAAAAAAAATCTCCTGTTAAGAATGGAATGTATATTAAATATTTCCAATCTGTGAGCCATTTTTTCATATTGGCATATTATGCATGCCAATTCAAGTGTATGCAGCGTGGAATAGTTCATTTGGCACCCTATCGAGTCCGAATCTGATGCTTTATTCCTTGCAAGTGCTTTCAGAGCACCTTCACTTTATTCATAGGATTCCTCTTCAAAGAAGTCCATTATTCTTTTATCTCTTCTGTATAGTTCTTCCCTATATTGTTTCCACCTTCTCTTTTATTTCTCCCAGTAAGATAGCAGGTCCCACTGTTTAGGATTCCCATGTCTAATCTTAGTTTGAATTTCCTTTGATTTCTTGGAAGAGTTATCTTGTTTTTCCTCTCTTCTGTTTCTTTGTACTGGTCATTTTCACAGTTCTTTGTGTGCCTGCATGATAGCCACTGAAAAATTGCATTCAGGATTCTGACCTTATTTCTGTCATCATTTGCTTCTGCTTCTGACTTGTCTTGTTGCCTTCTTTCCTAGGGAGGCTCCTTGTGACTCGCTCTGTTTCTATGTTTCTAATCTTGCATTGGTAGGTTTTTCAAGAATTCTAATTGACAAGATTCTGATCTTTGCATTATAGTTCCTTATTGCTTCGTTATTAGAGCGACTCCATTCCTTGTGAGTTGGTTTGGAGTAAAATACTCTGACAACAGAAGTGGGGGACTGGGGATCATTTTGTAGAATTCTCATGCTCACACGCACACATGCATGCATGCATTCATTCTAGATTAGTGGATTTTTGGTTTGTATACTATGATTTTGAAGTGTGCAGTACTGGATAATCTGTGATGACATCAAATGTATGCATGAATGAATGTTTATTGCAAATGCTTTTGAAAATGCAGGGAGGGGCAAGAATATTTTTGATGACCAAGTGGATAGCTTCTGTATTGCCTGAAGTGGCAAATGCTGCCTAATATTGGAAGCCAATTGGAGTTGAGCCTAGTGGAAATCTGGATGGGTGACTTAATGTTGTGAACCATCCAGAGAACTTTGACTATTGGGAGTCTAGAAAGGGTGATGATAAGGATGATGATGATGATATCATATATCCAGACCTCCTTTCTCCCTGTCGTGGAGCACAGAGAGACTGAAAGTTTTCCTACCTGCTATATTTTAGCCTCTTGACTAAAGTCAAGACAAGTATGGAGGAACTAGCAGTATCCAGAGGCAATCAAGGGATATATTCTTCCTCAGTTCTTATATATAAAATGGGTAATCTCAATCACATACCTCACAGATAATTGTAATAAAATGCTTAAGAGAAAAAAGACATGGACTTATTTAAAATAGTGAAACTTAATACAAAGAAATATCAAATGTGGTTTTACCAGTTTTGTATTTACTGATTGAGAGCAAATAAAATTATCTGTATTACATATTTCAAGGTTAATCATATTCAGCAGTATTTGTTTAAATGTACTTGTTTTAATTAAGAGAGGGATTTGCACATGGGGGCATCTTCAGATTTCTGGATCCCTGGACTCTGTTGCCATAGGAATTAAAACAGCCATAGAATTTTATGTCTCTTAAGATGTGCCCTTAAGATATTTAGATGGTTTTATTTAGGATGAAAGACCAAATGAATTTCTTTTTTCCTATTAATCTGACACAGAATACCAGACTTCTAGGCTAGGTTTACTTAGGAATGACATTCGTTCCTGAAGTTTAATCTGCAGATATTTGGTTAGAACCAAGGACATTGCAGGGGCTGGAATATGTTTCAGACCATCTAATTGTGATGATACACACCAAGCATAAACAACTTCCAAAAGCTGCCCCTGTGGTTCACTGTCAACAGTGTATTTCTTCACCCCTTTGTGATTCATGATAATAAATTAATTGTGCTTTCAGAAACAGTGTCATGGGAACAAAGTAATCAGTGACACCATCTGCTGCCAGCAGGTTTGTGTGGTTGAGGAACTGCATATCTCCATCATACAGGAATGTTAACGGACACTGATGCTGGCAGCCGTCTCTTGCCTCAAACCAGCTTGGGCAATGTTAGTCAGTCAGGAGGGAAATGGCTATGTCATGCCAAGGTGAATAAATAGCAGAGGCAGTGGCTGGCTAAGAGTAGCCACATAGGAGACTACATATCTGACTATAGTCAGATAGTTGCTAACAGCTACAACAGATCACACAAAATGTGAAAAACTAGTGGCTCCACATTCTAGGATTGCTGTTAAACTGTAATATTTTAATATAAAGTCATCTTTGATATATTCTGAAGGAAAAATTCTGGAACCTGAGCAGAAGGCAGTTAGAAGAAAGAGTGTGAATGTACAATATGTAAGCTAGAATGATACAGCCACTTTCAATAAGAGCTAAACGAAATGCTTGTCAGGGGAACTGCACTTCAGTGGTGGAGCACTTGCTTTTCATGCAGAAGGCCCCAAGTTCTGCCCCCAGCATCTCCAGCTCTCCTGTCTGAAGCCCTGGAGAGCTGCTGCCAGTCAGTGTCAACAGGATTGTGTTAGATGGACCAATGGTATAAGACAGCTTCCTATATTCCTAAAATGTATCCTTGAATCTGAAATGAACATAGAGTGTGTATTTACTGACACCATGTTCATGAGGATGAGTACTTTTTTTTTTTCCTCTTGTGCTGCGGTTTTTAATTATGTAATATAGTCTACCAATTTACACCACAGTATTATGGGTGTCTGGAAAACAGACCTTTTTCATGATTGGTTGTTTTCTTCTTTCAGCAATGTAAATTGACTACCTAAAATACAGATGGCTCAAAGTGCTGGTCAATTTTAAAGACAGAACCAGCAGAAACCCAAATAGCAAGTACCTTCCAGTTGCATGCCAAGACCCTGAAACTCTTTAATTAGCCTGCACAAAGGCATCATCTGAAAGCTACTGGTAGTAAAAAGATGAAAGGGTTTAACTTCACATTATTGATGGGTATTGGAATTCAGATAAGTACTCTGCTCACCGACCCATCGGGCCATCACTGCTTAGCTGTTCTGTGATGTCAAAACATTTAAGCCAAAAGCAACCAGAGAATCTATGTTAACTGTGAGTCAAGAGCAGATTAGACAAGAGCATCAAGGGAAAAGGACATCTTTAGCTGTTGTTAAGTGTGTGTTCACCAGGTCTTTTGCTTGTTGTGTTGGCACTATAAACATAAAACTACATTAAAATGGTAGAATCTTGGGAATTATTTCTCATCACAAAATGTTCATCACCTTCACATTAAAGTTTCCTTGGAGAAAGACATGAAAACTAAACAAATATTAAACTGCTTTATATCTAATCTACTTTTTGATTACACACACACACTCTCTCTCTCTCTTTTCTGTCCTTTGGGCCTGTGATGTCATAGAGTATATCTCTCAATATTAGTTTAGGCTGACCTGAGAGAATAGCAAAGGAGAAACTAAAAATAATTCCTTTCTGCTTACTAATTTTTCTTGATTCTATTACTTCTTTCCTCACAAAATACGGTTCTTGCACATCAAATAGACTCCCTTAGAATTTGTTTCTTCTTTCTTTTTGCCAATTTTCAGACCACAAACAAAACAGTAGAGCTACAGAGGAAGAAAAAAACAAAAGCCCCTCGTTTTCCTTCTCATCCCCACATTCACTCCAAAGGGTGTAGCTGGGCCTTAAAATAGTCTGTTATTGGTGGGAAGGGGCCCAATTGTAGTTAGTGAAGCAGCGGACAGTTTGCTTAGTCCTCTGCTTCTTCTGTTCTCAAGGCAATTGGGTCCAGACAGATTCCAGAAGGGCAAGAAGCACTTAAAGGGAGCCAGCAAAGTGTAGCTATGCCCATGTAAAATACGAAATTAGTCTTTCCTAAGTAGGAAGTATTTTGAATTCACTGAAAATTATTCTAAAAATAGAGGAATTGAATGTCTTTTAATCTTTTATCTTTCAGCCAAGAAGACCTGTGCAGAAACTGATTTCACTTGCAACAATGGCCACTGCATTCCATCCAGGTGGAAGTGTGATGGTGAAGAGGAATGCCCAGATGGATCTGATGAATCTGAAGCAACATGCAGTGAGTTTGCTGTTTAGTGGTTCTGAAACAGCTTTGTTGCTGCTGAAACAAGACTTCCATCGCATCTACTCTCTCTTGTAGTCTCCTGTCAGGGAAGTCCTTTCTTCTAGCTCATTCTCTCTCCCCTTTTCTCTCTCTCTTTCTTTCTCACAGGTGCACATTCCCCTAAATCAGATCATTCTGAGGACAAGTAAGCTGACCTGACCTGTTTCTTCCATACATTTCTCAGAAATTCCATATTAGTTCTTATTTTGTTAGTGCTAACATTTACATCTAGAGACTTGCAAATTTCATCCTAAGCAATGGAGAAAGGCCTTCAGTCTGACTTTTTCCACCCATAAAATAGGAGTGTTTCTGATAGGAGGTGAACATCTGACAGATTTCCGAATTTGGGCATCTGGATTCTAGTTTGTTCCCCCTGTGCCAGCATTGATTTATATGAGCTGGGACAGCTTTTAGACTTCTGTTTCTAAGGCAAACCAGATTTTTCACTTTTAAAAAATGCAGACACTAAGGAAATCAGTGTAAATCATGCTATTTGTGAAATCAGAAGTTGAAAACTGCCATTCTAGTGTGATTTGTTTAAATACATCTACCACTATATAGTTTCTGGTTTCCAGTTTGTGCAAATAGTACTATTTTCACAAACTGCATAAATTTGTGCAAATTGTATAAATTTGTACAAGATTTCTTTCGTGTTTAAGGACAGATGCACAAACTGCAACCTGTCTTAGAGGCAGAAGTCTGGGAAAAGAACTGTTTCTGCCCACTTCCAGTCATTGGATTGGAATTTGGCAGGAAGTCCATTGAACCCAAAGGAGTGGTCCTTCCTAGCATCAGCATATTCCTATCTTGAGATCATTTCGTAAGATGGAAGTTTAATGCCAGTAAGAAAACTGAATCTGTAGAGGGACTTGTAACAACCTGAATTATCATTGCTGTAAATTGGAAAAACAAATTTAGGGTTTATAGAGAGTTTAGACATGCTTTCCGTTTCACCAGAATACAAATCTACTGTGAATAAATTCTGTAATGCCTGGTAATACTATAGACAATACAAATGAATTTTATAGTAACATATTCCTTTCTGCAGATGAGTACTTATAAGGCAATTTCATTTGAGAAATGTTGTCTTAAAATTCAAAATACAGGAAAGAATTGAGACTTTTTAATATATGCAAAAAACAATCCTTCAGAGCCATTGATTCTCTTCTCAGAAGGCTAAATCATCCTGACTTTATGTTGTTGCCCTGGAAACTGATGCCAACGTCTTCCACAACCCATGGTTAAGTCCAAATTCATTGATTACCCCCGTTTATATAAAAATAAAACTGTAAAATCTTGCCCCACTTCTAATTTGGGCATTAATCCACAATGAACAATGGGTATTTTTTTCTAAACCCCATTAGTGCTGAGGGGTTACTTCAAAAGTGAGACATTCACAGGTTATATTGTCCTTTTGAAACAGAACCATACTGCATCTTCGTTATGTTGCACAACAGACAGCTTTCCAGGCTGGCATAGAATTTCAAGAACAGAGCTTGCATTGGGTAACACTAATCAAGCAACCTGGTGACTTAAACAAAAGTAAAGAAGACATGCAAGCAGCAGCTGACACAGAGGCCAAAAGTGGCAATTTTCTCCTGCTGGACAGACTTATTTGCAAATGTAACATTATTGTGAGTGCTGGGAAACACTCCACTTTGCATCAATTCCTTTTACCATGTTGTTATTCATACCATATGGGACAGATTATTTCCCATTGATTTGGAATAGTGGAGAGTTATTAAGCATGCTGACTAGATAGGGATTTAACCCAATGAATATTGAACTTAAATATTAGGCATTACGAGAGAGAGATTGTGTATGAGTGTTTTAATAAGATCAGTGTTATCTTGTCTGAGAAAACAACTCCATAAATTGATACTAAATGATTTGGACATAATAAAATAGTTATCAGCATAGTACATAGTTGCTTTGGGGCTTAAATGAAACTGCACACATTTTTTTAGATATGCAAAAGAATAAGAATTGGGAAAAGCATGCCCTACAATTGACCAAAAGGGTTGTCATTGTAGCAATAACTGTCCCAACCTGGTGTTACTGCAATGAAAGCAGTACATCCAAGTTTTAAACATGCCAGACTGAAACCAAACTGAAATGTTCTAGCATGAAGGTAGGGACCCATTATGTAGAATGTGATTGCCTCAATATGTTGTTTGATAGGGAGGGAGAAAGCTGGCTCAGGATATTGAAGGAAGGTCGGTGGTGATTTTACAACTATCAGAAGATGCAGGTATTCTGCGTGATTCCTTAGTAGCTACCCAGGCCAACAACAGAGCTGGTGAGGAAAAAGGGAAAATTGGTAGCTGGTATGCAAATACTGGTGTTCAGCTCTTATGCAGATGCTGACATCTCTGTGGGTGTGCAGCACAGAGGTTGAGGAGCCAGTGGGCAGCAGGCTCTGGAATTCCATAAGATGTGCTAATGCTTTCCTCTCATACGCTGTTTAGTCCCTGTAAGTCTTCACAAACAGCCCTGCTGAGCCATCTGAGGAAGACACTGTGCTTGCAAAGTGGCTTTATGGATTCTCCGGGACCATTCTCTAATAAGAACCAAGTGAATAAGTTATAATAATAATTTTGGCTAATGGGCAGGATAGCAATCTAACAAATTAATACATTAGAAGGCTTTGTAAAAACCTTTTATAATATTACTTAACATAGGCCACTCTTTCACTAAAAATACCCAACATATTGAAACAGATACCTTCTTCCTCCAGTCCTTTGAGTCACTCTCTCTCTCTGTTTTGTGTATGTGTGTTGCAGGTAGTCTAGGCTATTTGAAGGCTGTGAACTGAATTTCAAATCACATACCACATAAAGGTATTCCCCTGGGTGAATGCTGGCAAAGGGATGGTGGTTTATTCAACTTTGGCAGTGCTACTGTGTGGAGAGTATTTATCCTTTCTTTCCTCTTATTTCATAAGCCTACCAGGTTGGCATAGCTGCCTAATTAGAAAAGATACACACTACTTTCTAACAAAGCCCTCTTTGAGCGACCACACAGTATCAAAGTACTCATCCTTGCAGTGACATTAACATATTAATTTTATGATAAGTTTGGTCAATGTCTGTCTATCTTTCTCCCACTCAGGCAGAACTGCCTTATTAATACAATAGTCATTTCTTAGGCTTAAATTAGGACAGGCTTAAATTAGATAATCAGTTCCCAGAATTCTCTGCCTGTAAATCTCCCTAGCCTGAAGCTGCTATGTTTAGATCGCATAGTTCACTGTAAGGACGGCTAGGATTTTATTTGTCCTAGACCAGCCAGAAATGAATATTGTCCTGTAAAGGAGATCCACCTACACTGTACAAAGGCTGAACCCTGCTTTGACTTCAATTATGCTTTGATGCCTATTGTTGGTATTTTTGTGACGGTGTTTTTTCTGACATTGGCACACTTCATGCAGGTTCTAGTTGAGTGCTGTGCAGGGGAATTGTATCAAGCAGGAACACTTGGATATGGGTTGACATTAGTCAGCTCCTAGGTTGGCCTTGAGCAAGCTATTATCACTGAGCTATTCTCTGAGGGAGGGTCGGGTGCCTGCCCCTTTAAAGGAGGTGGTAGTCCGACCGGTCCTGAGGAAGGCGTCACTGGATCCAGAGATGGCCACTGATTATAGACCAGTGGCCAACATCCCATTTCTGGGCAAGGTGTTAGAGCGGGTGGTGGCGGGACAACTCCAAGCACTCTTGGATGAAACTGATTATCTGGACCCATTTCAGTCCGGCTTCAGACCCGGGTACGGCACTGAATCTGCCTTGGTCGCCCTGTACGATGACCTGTGCAGGGAGAAGGACAGGGGGAGTGCGTCCCTGTTGGTTCTTCTGGACCTCTCAGCGGCTTTCGATACCATCGACCATGGTATCCTTCTGGATAGGCTTGCAGGATTGGGGGTCGGAGGCACTGCTTTGCAGTGGTTCCGCTCCTATCTCAATGGCCGGTTCCAGAAGGTAGTGCTGGGGGACTAAGGCTCTGCGCCATGGCAGCTATGCCATGGAGTACCGCAGGGGTCCATTTTGTCCCCTTTGCTGTTGAACATCTACATGAAACCACTGGGAGAGGTCATCAGGAGGTGTGGGCTGCGGAATCATCAGTACGCTGATGATACCCAGCTCTACCTCTCGTTTTCCACCAATCCAGGTGAGGCAGTGGCTATACTCAATCGGTGCCTGGCCGAGGTAATGGGCTGGATGAGGGCCAATAAACCGAAGCTCAGTCCAGACAAGACGGAGGTCCTGTTGGTTGGTGGATCAGGCTTCGGAGAGGGTGAATTGAACCTAGTCCTGAATGGGGTTGACTCCCTCTTAGGGACAAGGTCTGCAGCCTGGGAGTGCTCCTTGACCCGGAGCTTTCACTGGAAGCTCAGGTGACAGCAGCGGCAAGGAGCGCTTTCCTTCAGCTTCGGCTGATTCAACAGCTGTGCCCCTACCTGGAGTACGACTGCCTCGCGACAGTGACACATGCGCTGGTGACTTCCTGTCTTGACTTCTGTAACGCGCTCTACGTGGGGCTACCCTTGAAGACGGTCCGGATACTTCAGTTGGTTCAAAATAGAGCTGCCAGGCTGCTGACGG